GGTTGATTGATGAATGAAAATTGTTCTTGACAAGAGTAACAAAGACTACATGTGGACTAAGAATAACAACGCATTTGTATACCCCGGCCAATTTGATTATAGATTGTCACCCGAATTGGGGAGGTGGGTCACTGTGGCTGGTGGGGGGGGGGTTATATGGGTGGGTTGGGGAGTGGGTTTATATGGGGTTAGGAAGGGTATGAACCATTTTGGAAACAAACAACTGTAGAATATTGAGCCAACGTTGAATTAGTAGCTTTGCGATATTACACGTAGCCATTTGTTTGGGAGATGTAGAATAAGAGAGGAAGCAAAATAAACAAAAGAAAATAAAGAAGTTAGCATATATCTTTTGGTTGGGAGAGGAAGGAAAATATCCTCTTATTTTCTATAATTATTTTTCCTTTCAAAAGGGAGAAAATTCAAATAGTAGCTCCACTCATATCTTTCTATTCTTTTTATTACTACTACTTAGGAGGGAAAATAAATTTATTTTTCTTCTCCATTACATCCAAATGAGGGGAGGAAAAATAAGCCTCATTAGAAAAATTCTCCACCCTCTTATTTTACCTCAATTTTTTCTTCCATCCAAACAAGTACGGTTCGTTTGATATTACACATCTGGTTGGGCGTATATCTATAAGTACAACCAGCTCAATAAAAATGAAAGCATAACCCAACTCTAATTTAGATGTTATCTAATTTTAATGTACCCATTTGGAACTCTCTCTAGTTAGATCATTAGCACCGTGACTTTTCCTTGCTGGACAATATTTTGGATCATTATACTCGTGACTCTCCCTCGATAATTTCCCGAGCACGATTTCACTAGAATTTCATCTGTAGTAATTTTCTTGGCACCTTTGTCAGTGAAATGCTATTCACCGGAACCCAACTCGAAATGTGTTCTCTCTTCGCATCTCTCCAACAATGAACGAGCCATCTCCAAATCTAGCGCGCGACTCTCTAGCTCCGATGAACGCTAGGGTCCTAATACAATGACAAAGAGGAAAATGAAAATATAGTTTGTTTCAAATGAAGAAGATGTAGAATCTATTGTTAGGTTTGAGATTTTTTTCATTCATTTTGGGAATGAAATGTGTTCAATCTTAGGTTTGGTAGTACTCATTGCAATATGTCCTCGTTTTTGTTTCACTTTCAAATTACATAGAAAAGTAGAAAATAAGTTCATTCGTTTTGGCAATGAAATATGTTCATTACATTGTGTGATAGTATTCATTCTGATATGTCCTTGTACTCATTTATAGTGTTAGCAATGGATACAAGGCATATTTGTGGTTTGACTTTATATTGCATAGAAAAGTAGAAAATAAGTTGTTCATTTTGACGATGATGTTGAATCTTATGCTTGGTAGTACTCATTGTAATATACCTTGATATGCTTGTAGTTTGGTTTCAAATTTTATAGGAAAGTAAAAAAGATGTACTCTCATTTTGGCAATGAAATATGTTCATTCTTCTGTGTGGTAGCACTCTCTCTATATGTTTTGATACTCATTTGTAGTCTAAGGAATGCAAACAAGTCATACTTGTGATTTGGTTTCAAATTACATAGAAAAGTAGAAAAAAATTATTCATTTTAGAAATGAAATATGTTCAATCTTTAGTGTGTCAGTACTCATTCTGACATGTCTCAGTAGACTTGTGGCTTGGTTTCAAATTGCATAGGAAAGTGGAAAAAATGTACATTTATTTTGGCAATGATATATCTTCATTCTTTTGTGTGCTAGTATGCATTTTGATATATTACGGTACTCATTTATAGTTTGAGTAGTGGAATAGCAAGTTCATTCTAATAAATTACAAATTTGTGTTGTTGTACAATTAGATAGGTATAGTTGGTTGTACCATTTAATTTGGGTTGTGCGGCAAGGACTAAATAAAAACAAAATTTAATTAATCACTCCCATTTAGAGGAGTTTATGTTTGAGCTCATATTTTGAGAATTTTTTTAAACTTCTTTTAGGTTTTCCAAACTTTTTCTAGTTTTTCCAACTATTTCTACTTTATTATTATTTCCTCCTATTTTTTGTAATTTCTTCCTGTAGTAATTTAAAAAAATTTGTTTGTATTTTTCATACTATTCTTATTTCAAATATTTTATTATTATTGTTATTATAACCATTATTATTATTACAATTATTATTATTATCATCATTTTATTATTATTATTATTATTATTATTATTATTATTATTATTATTATTATAATTAGTAGTAGTAGTATTACTCTCTCTGCCTAGATTAAATATTCTCATTTGACTTTTTATGGTCTCTAATACAATACTATGACCATTAGTATATATATTTATACACAGACATATACTAGAAAATTTTGATATTTCAAAATTAAATTACAAAAGAAAACTATTGATATTATGTTTATATTGAAACACAATGTAATTTTCGTATATCGAGAGCACAATTTACAAACTTTGACAAAAAAAAGGTGAAATAAGAAGATTTAATCCATAAATAGGGAGTATTATTGCATTTTTTGTACAAGGAGTACAAAATATATTGCATTATTATTATTGATCATCATCATCATTGCTAAAATATATGTTTGAAATAAGTATTGTGTTACTTGTAAATACGACGAATATACAATAACATATCAGTGTATTTTTTGTACGAGTATTATTGTATTATTAAATCAGCATATGATGAATATACAATAACATCCTTCACCAAAATTTATAATATTAGAACTCTCAACAACTACGAAGTATATTTTTTATTATCTAAATTTGGTGTTTTAAATATTTAATTAGGTGTTTTTTTAATAAAGTAGTGGTTTTAGAATATTTTTGTCTTATTTAAATCTTTAATTAAAAAGTAAATCGTATCACATCAACCATTTCTAACGAAGAATATTCATCATTAGTCCTGTGTTAGTTATGTGAGTGAAAACACTTGCAATCATTTAAGAAATAGTGAGTGTTTCTATGTGCTTATAAGCGAGTCAAAATTCCTTAATTATAAGTAGTTTTTAACTTATAAGTTAACTGATGACATGTTTCTATGTATTTATAAGCTGACTTATAAGCTGTTTATAAGTCAGAAAAAGTAAGTAGGTCTTAGCTACTTATTTTCAAGCTAGTTTTTTCATTTTTTCGTTTTGACCAGATTATCTGTAAAATTATTCCTCATCATTTATGAATATTTACAAATAATTTATCTATCATTAAAGTCATTTTAACTCCACGAAAGAATATTTGACTTATAAGCAGCTTATAAGTTAAAAACTACTTATCTGTAATAAGCCAGTAAGCACCAACATACAGAAACACCCACTATACTCTCTATGTCCCAAAAAACTTTCCGTTTCAAAAAGACGTACAAAATCTCATCTATTTGAAAATGATTTTATTTATAAATGGGTATAGAGGTAAAAAGTACTTACATACTTAAAAGTTACATAAAAGATTTTACAGAACAAGTGGTGACAATGATATTTTATTTTATCAATTGACTAATAAAAATACACACGCAAACAAAAAGTTTTGAAAACCTAGAATAAGAAACAAGAAATATTTTTTCACACAGAAGGATTATATAAATTTAGTATGAGATTATTTATGTTTGATTGCATAAAACTTGTGATTATTATTTTTGTCAATATATCTCTTCAATGAACATCAATAAAAAATGTGGAATCTTTTTTGAGTTTTTCCCACTATTTACGGGACTTATGATGCAATGTACTCCATTCGTTCTAAAATGTTTTTTACACTTTGGTAAATTTTTTTGTGGTTTTTAGGTCCATGCTCATTTTATAGACATTCACAAGAAAAATAATTTTATGTAATAAGCCTTGTAAAATAAAGGAGAGCTGATTATGAGCACATGGAAAATATGTGAAAAAGTTCACATTTTACATGTAGATCTTTGGAGCACCATAGCACAACTCTTATTCTTTAAGCAAAACGAAATGAAATTTTAAGTTTTTTAAACTTATTTTATTTAAAGATTGGTTTATAAATTCAAAAATAAAACTTGCATATTTAAAAACTATGCCAAAAGCTCTACAAAAGAAACGGTGACAAATATATTTTATTTGATCACA